ATATCATACTTTACGCCGAAAAAACGAAACTGAAAGTTAAATGCGTTAACTTCCAAAATCCATACATAATCCAACGAAAATAAATAATTGGTAAATAACAGCTTTCTTGTATGCAAAGAAAAAAAATTAAAAATGTTAAAAAAGAGATGTCGACACAAAATACATAGCCCCTTCAATTCTGAAGATACTACAAACGAACTGTACCTACCATAAAATTTTCATATCCCAGAAGCAAAAGTTCCCATGACGAATATTGCTATCGCTAGCGATTGCAAAAACCAACTTGTTACTTTTAGTCTTAGTAGAACTTATTACTAAGTTCAGTATGGATTTCCTTGAGGATTTGGGATTCAGACATGTTAGCTGGGATAGGACCAAAACTTACAACTTCTGATGGGTAGGTGGCTTCGACATTAACAGATTTGGATTTTAAGCAATTTTTTAGTGCATTTTCTAAGATCCCTCTGTCCTCGGTTTTGGCTCTGATTACATAGTCCTTATCCTTATTTAATTTTACCGAAAAGACTTTACCTAAGTTAGGTGGAATTTCTTTGTGAATCATTTCAAAGAGTTGTTGTTCATCTATAGTTTTACCAGAGACAGTAGATTCTAAAAGTATCGTGACTTCCTTAGAGACTCTGTTAACAACTCCACAAGTGAGATTTTGCTTGTTTTTCTTGAGCTGTTCGCTATAACTTAGTTTTGTCGTCTTCCATTGAAATCCGATTTAGATAATCGACCTTATGTAAGGTTGTCCTGGTCCAGTTATAGGACATGTCATCATCGATGTTGTCCGCGCACCTGTTTTTTCCAGTAGTTTACGTCCTCGCTTTTTTTCGGCAAGGGAATTTTGGTCCACGTACCAATTGAGACCTACAGTTAATTGGTCCACATGTAAATACAAACGACAATCGTTCACAACGTTTTTGGATGAAAATGTATAATGTCTTGGAAGAATGAGGATTTGCTTGTTTCTTTTTGTTTGTTTGGTCAAGCAGAGCAAAATATACAATTGAGATTTTCGGGAAAAATGAGGGAACGTCAATTCCACAAGGGAAAATTCACTAAAACTCTCTACACCTCTGTGGTGCAATAGGACTTAATTATCTTCCAAGAAAACCCCACCTTGTTATACGTGACCCGGATAAACCTTTTGATTTGCCTAAGCTAAAGGCTCTTAAATTGTTCATGTATGCGATAACTCCGCGGCGCTTCGAGCTGCTATTTTGCCACGGAGTTTTTGCATGTTGCACAGTATCATATGACATTGAAGGCATCCCAACGTCTCATGATTAATGGCATCAAAAGCATGCAGTTCCTTCTCAAATTAAATTGAGTGGCGACGACAAAAAGAGAGCGGTAGTCGAAAAACTTACTAAGTCCTAGTATCCGTATTAAATAGCGTTTAGCATGATTTTTGAACTTCATTAGAGGAAAAGTGACAGAAATATACTCAAATTTACCGCGGAGAAGATTCCTTTTTGAATCAATGAAGATATTAGTGCTTGTTTAAAGTAGAAAAGATGCTTTTTTTAAAAGAAAAATCACTTACGTCAAGCATAGACCCGCTTTCATCAGCGATTTTATTCATAAATAAAATCTTCTTGGCGGCATACTCAAGACTTCCTGCCTAAATCGAGTCACTTTTTTCTCTAATGAATTTCAAAAATTACGTTAAGCGTTTTTAAATATGGATGCCAGGACTTAAGACCAGGACTTATGGAGGTGTAAGTTTTTGGAAAACTGATCTCAATTGTGCAGTAATAGCTGGATTTATTTTGCGAGGAAAGCACTGTGCTCTAATAGGCTGCCTGTCATTCTTAAAATGTTAGAACGCCTTCAATTTCGTATGCAACACCTTTGGTGCTTGAGGCGCCGTAGCACGGCGCGGCGTTGCGGCGTACTGACAGACCGAAACCGAGACGCGCACTGACGCCTACAAACCTAAAGGTATACTTGAAGCATTGCGCAATGCGTAGAGTATCCGCTTAGGTTTGTAGGAGCCACTGAGTCTCTCACGCTGGCAGCACGCCGCTCCGCTCTTTGTTTGGCTCTAATATTTAATCTCGCGGAGTCAGCGTTTTTCAACTCCTGGTTTTGAAATGTTTGCACACGCTGCATGGATTATTCTCATTTAAATCAATAAAAAAAAATATGTATTAAAGAAACATATAATGTGTGTTTTGTAAATATTAAGGTGGTTTCGTGTCAAATATAATGATTTTCAAAACGTTTTAATTTTTCTTTTATTTCTTGTGTTTTTATTGTGCTGCGGCGTGTTGTACGAGCAACCAAACGCTCAAAATTGGACGTATTTGACTCTGAAAGATCGACGTGCGAATGAGTTCAAACTAAAAACAAGCGGGAAAGTTCTAATACTGTCGTATTAGAAAAGCGCTTAGGTGTTAGTCAATGTATTGAAAGGAAGTATAACTCGAGTAACAACTCGACTTGGCTGGGTAATGGAAATAAAACATCAGCTGATAGCAAACAAAGGTTACCAAGGAAACCGTAAACGCGTTTTTCCGTTTCCCGAAAATGATAGTCACCGTTGAGCTCATCAGGCGCCATTTGCCACCTTTTATAAATGCAAATGTTTTTTTTAAATTAAATAAAATTTTCATTTAAAAAAAGTATGTACGAGGTATATTTTATGTCAAAAATTTTTAGGATAGCAATAATATCAAATATTCACCTATGAAACTTTGAAAAGAGGAATCAAAAGAAGAAAGTAACATTTTATTTTAAAAAAATGAGAGTAATTTGTCATGGTCACAACAAATCGTCCTCCTCTCTCAATTTTCTCGTTTTGATATTATTGTCAACGTAATTGTACATATAGACTAGTCACTGTTGCCTATTTTATGCGTGGACATAAACTACTGGACACAACAGGTGCGCGGACAAAAAATCGTTCCGTACCGCGTTCGCTGATGTAGCCGGGGTTTAACATATGCATGTGCCTTTAAAATATTTAGGTGTTTAGTGCCCCACGCATGTCGATCTTAACTTCAAGAGGATGAGAATTTGGCATAATTTCTTGGCAACCTCTCCTCAGCAACAACGAATTTGAGGTCTTTGGGAATCGAGCGTCTTATAATCTGAAACCCTGAATCAGGCCATCTCCGACTCGGAGTTGCTTGCAAGTCTTTTCGTCGCTCTTCTGTCTTGAGGGCGTATCTTGATTTTTAGATGAGCTCCAGAAAGCATGGATTTATATGCGAATTATGGCTCACGTGGAAATCCAGGTAGTCCTTACGTCAGAGAAGCGACGTTTTGAGGCCTCGAGTGGGAGTAGGTAAAAATAAATCTTTCACAAGAAAATCGATTCTGAGATGTTTTACGGTTGATACGCCAAATTTCACCCCAAAAAATTTCTCTATGGTTAGTTTCTAAAACCATACTTACTCAGATCTACTACCCTAGTCGTGCCACTCTCTACAAGATTACATTCGGATTAACCATCTTATCATAAAACTCTCACATGTTTTGATTTCTTCTACCTGGGAAGCAACCGTGGGGTGTAAACGTATTATTCAAGCTCAAGTAGTTACAGTGGCCGTAGTAGTGCATTTTTCCAAAACTGAATTTTTACTGATGAAGAACCGCTATTAAGTTTGCTAGAATATGTGGTTCTTCATTTCAAAAATGAGCAATTTCAGAACTTTACCACATCTTAACTTCATGAATAAGGTCACCATGGTCGTTGAGGGGGGGGGAGGGGACTCTCTGGTATATTTGGTATAATGGCACTTTGGTATTCCTAGTTAATTCCACACCCCACAACAGCAGTTTCCTCTTAATCAGAGAGATTCATTTTCTCGAGTGAGTGGAGATTCCAATTTTAGTTCCAAATATTTCCCTCCTCTTCTGACCCATTCAGGTGCAATTGGAAGAAGTTGATGGCATAAGGCATCTCTAAGTTATATTTCCTTGCAAACACACCTTTGTTAAAGAACCCTCTAAGCTCATCAGACGATCTGCAATCACCAAAATAAAAATTCATTTACTTTTTTAAAGAGAAGTTCTGAATAGGTATACGATGACTCATGGAGAGAACTCCTTAAACAGGATGCAAAAACGCCGACTTAAGCCTTGTCAGTACTAAGTCAGCTATATTTTCATTGGGTCTCTGATCTCATGGTCTTGAAGGGGTAGCTACCGCTCTTAACAACGCGACTGAAAGATTCAGTGCTCAGCTTGGTGAAATTATGAGAGTTATGTGCACATGTGAATATATCTAAGGGAGAGGGGGCTTAAAAATTGAGAAATTGACACTACTGCATACTGCATGTAGGATTATATTATGATCACTTTGGCACGATAACGCTGAGAACATCACACCAAAGCGGAGTTATAATGGATTGAAGATAAGTTAGACTTGTTCACGAAGATTAAAAAACAACTTCGGCACGAATTGGAAAAATGGTAAAGTCTTACATTTTTGACTATTAAAACTTTAAACTTACGTGGTAGTAACTCTGGTTTCATTATAAACTATCGGTTCCTCAGCTTTCTGCGGGTAAACGAGATAAATACACCTGTGAACATCTGAAATTCACTAGGTTAAAAAAGTGCATATTATGTTATGCTTTTTCGAAAATACTTAAAATCCTTTTCTCGTTTTAAATTTCACTATTTATCTCCCTCGTCGCCAGTGCAGTCCAGAATCAGACCACGGCCAATTCGGTGAGCTCGTCGTTTTCCCCACGAGAGAACGCGACTAAATTTCAAAGTTACCAAAGTTCCCCTCGCAAATTGCATTTTTGCCAGGGGAACCTTGACCATCTCTAACTGAAAATTTCTCTGATTTTCCTCCGAATTGATGCAGAAATTATGAAAAATTTCGGTCAAAAATTGAATGAGTACATTTCTGTAAAAAATTGAATTGTTCGAGTCAATGTTGCAATCCTGAAATGGAATTACGTCCCTTGGTCTAAGGACGAATATTTGGACGTATTCAAATCAAAAGGAACTATATCCAAGATGATAAGAGCCGTGTAATGCATGTGTTCTTATGGTTCTCAAGGCTCATGTGAGAATAGATTCAGTTCCCTATGATTTAAATGATACTGAGAAGTTCTATGCATTCATCCTTTTATACCAGCACGTTTGTTTTTTATCTCGAATTGCAGGAAACGATTATCCTCATTCTATTTTCAGCTCCAGTCAATTGTAATTTTACAGTCAATTGTAGTTTTACAGTTTATTCTACAGTTTTGAAAGGTTTGTTTTGTCTGTGCCCAGCATCCTGTTTATAAAATTCAAGTGATAACTAACAATTTAAAAAAACATCGGAAGCCTCAAAGAGATATTTATACTTGTAAATTTGTGAACAAAAATATCTCAAATGAAGTGCGGATTAAACTGCGGAAGGCCAAATTCGTGTTTCAACTTCCGGTTTTTTCCTAAACACATTTAGAGAAATTTGTACTCATCATCTTTTTCACAAAAATCTCTCGGATGAAGGGAATGATAAAACTGAGGTAAACCGCAGTTCAATTTGCTACATTTGGTTTTTTTTTTTCCAAAACGTCGTAGAAAATAAGATCAACTTTACCGTTGGTGTAAAATGGTTGCCATGCTCTGTATTCTGTGACAACTTGACCCTTTCGCCAGCTGTTACCAGGTATGTTGATGATGATCCAATGTATCCAATGATACTTCTTCAAGGGGTTCTCACGAGTCGGCACATCAGGACCTTTCAAAAATTGCAATTACAAGTAGCGTTCGCGTTGAGTCAACACAAAAATAAATTGAATTCCTGAAAATATATGTGAAAGCTTTTACAGACTTTTTAACAAGATGCATGACTTTCTAGCTTGCACTAATTGAATTTTTTAAGAGACACAACACATCTCACTCTAAAGTATAAAATCACAGGAGTATCACGCGTATAACGCCTGAAGTGCCTGAACGTCTCGGGGGTCAGTTGAACAGTCATTCTAAAAAAATTTTGAAACGTCCGTGGTGAATATAAGTGAATACAACCAAATGGAAAACTCGGTTGGAAGAAAGTTTTTACACTGTCCTTATTTTTTCATGCCCGTATAATTTCACGTCATGGTACAATTAGCTAGAATTTGTCTTGATTGAAGATCCTCGTAAGTGAAATCACAAGAGCGTCTGATTCAACGGAGGTCTGAGTAAAGTGTAGGCACAAAGGAATCCGAGGTTTGAAATTATAGTTTTTTATTAATTCTGTTCCTGCCAAAAATCAGTAAGACGGAGTGGGTGCAGCCCTGTTTTAATATTTCTCAAAATACTTTTTAACATAACCCAGGATTAAGGAACTAAAAGAATAACATGTAATTTTCTTGACATTTTTGCACGATTGCTCATAAAAATTTCATTATATTTTAACTCCACATGGTATGAATTAACTAAGTGTTTCTGACTCTGGAAAACACAAATCTATGCTGTAGCTTTTGTGAAAACATGAAATCAAAAACAGCACTGTGCCATTGAGGGTTGAAACAATTGATATTCCGTGGAAAAAAGTATTATTGGTCCGAATCTGATTTCATTTAACTTCATTTCATTTGAAGATATAATGCAATCAAGTATTAAGAAAAAGTTGCATAGAAATTACCGTACAATAACATGGTGAAGAGCTTCTTTTCCTTCCTCATATTCTCCTCAACCGGGCACGATAACTGAGTTGGTATCTCGTAAACTTGCGTTTCTGTGAAATTTGTTCCAAAATTGACTGATCCCGCACGATACTCGACCTAAAAAATTTAGTTAGATGGATGGAAATTCATCGCAGCTACACTCTGACGGAACATATAGGACATGTTTCAATTACAGTTGTGTGATCAGAGTATTCAATTAAGCCAATGATTAATTTGATTAATCAGAGACAAGAAGAAGGAGAAGAAGAAGAAGAAGATGAAGAAGAAAAATTGAAACATGATGGAAATAATTGTCCTGACAGTTAATAAGTATGAAAATTGTAATTTATCTGTCGAAATTGTGAAAAATACATTTTTTATTTATGAGGTATGTTTACCTGATGCATGGACAGGTTGGTGGAACGGTCTAACTTCGCAAGATGGTGGGTTTACCGTATACGCTCTCAAACGCGCTGTATCTTCGAGAGGGGTGCCATATAGGTAATTGATACATTGGTGCTTATGCGTAACAGCGTGACGTTTGAAGTATATGTGCCAATTTGAAGGCGCTGTATACGCTGCCAGCTACACTGCGATTTTATAAGTACCGAAAAAAATAACAGTTCAGCACAAAACCAACTGTGACTTTTACAAATAGTATTAGAAGTAAACCTCGGCGTGAAGTCCAATCGTAGGTTTGTCACCTTCACCCCTCGGTTTATATTGTCATGGGAACGGAGTTCCCCATGATATTAGAATCGTTCCGTTGCTTTCGCTATGGGATTCCCTATACCTCTGCGACCTTGAGCGTTTCGCCCAGTCTCCGATTTTTGGTTGATTTTCCGATGTATCAAAAACCGTTGTATTTTTTACCCAATCATGTCTCTACGTCAAGTTGTGTTGATTTCTAAAATTCGCTTTTAGCGAGTTTTTTTCCACATTGAGATGTCGTGTCTGACTGGTAAATCTGCGCAGAACCACGAAGTTCCGTTTTTAGGCAAATTCTTTTTTTTGGGAGGTTTTCATTGGCTATTTTTCGCCATCAGTTTTCTGTTCGTTGGTGCAAAAGATCGCCTACCTCGTTGCTCTTGAGAAGCCGCCATTATCCCACCTCAAATTTTAAAAATAGATAGAAAAAAATAATAACCATCGTACAAGGCGGAAAATTGTTCTGGAGGACCCGTTACGGATATATGAGCCAAAATCAGAACTCGATTGATGGATTTAATCCATGAATACAGAAATATTGCCCCAGTTTACTGCCGCGATTGCAAATGCATTCTGACATGAACCTTGTGACACATGACAGCATAGGTAAACAATGTCTCACAGAGTAATGGGCTTGATCCGTTTTCTCTTACCACGCCAGTGGCCGAACCGTTGAAATCTCAAGGACGTCTTTTGTGAAGCCCCGCTCAGCGTCCGAGATCACTTAACTGTTCTCTTTTTCTCCTCCCATCCGAGCGGCGAGATAGCTCAGATAACTACAACACCGTTCTGGCCCTGGGAGAGTGTCACTTTTTGTGCGAGCGGGGGTTCGAATCTCGTAGGGGACAGCTAATTTTTACTGGTTGAATTGAATGTTTTAGACCAATCATCTAACAATAATTAATACTTGGCAACTTAGGAAGCACATAGGTCCCTTACGATGCGTATTCGGGCATATGTGTAAAAATATCATACGTAGGGTGTCCCAAAAGTACCGGGACTGGTTCTGTAACTTCAAAAGTAAGATAGATGCAGACATGATTTTGGTCTCATTTTAAAGATCAACTCAATACCTATCGATTAAAA